TGTTTGTTTCACATAGGTTAATATTATTCAAATCATAAGTAACAAGATTACGGCATATTATCAATGTGGACAATGCACATATCGCAAAAATACCTGAATGATTTATGTAGAAAGAACCTCGGATGTCATGTTGCAAGCAATATTTCCACACTCAAATCAAATAAAGGAACCATGCCTTATAAGTAGCCCTGAGCCTGAGATAGTGATTAACATAAGGAAATTACTCATAACTTGAAAACGCCGCAACCGATTTCGATTTTTTTTTTCAGCGATGAAAATGCGAATGATGTCGAAATGAATCTGTGATGAAAAATACAGGGTGTTCCATTTGAAAAATTCTAATGAACGTCGTCTGAATCTTACAATATTCAGAATGTGAATTTCAGCACTCTGTAAAGGATTGTCTCGCAAAATTACTGGATTGGTGTACGTGAGCCCTTGCTTCTACTGTATGCCAAAAATATTTTCAAAATTCGAATAGATGAAAATACCATGCCCAATTCAACATGACTCTGCAATAGTGGTAAAAGTGGTTTTATCAATTATAACTTGGCAACGCCGCAACCAAATTGATTTTTTTTCATAGCGATGTGAAGGTAAACCTCTGCGGAATAAATTCCGGATAAACAATACTGGGTGTTCCATTTAAAAAACTCGTCTCCGAGTCGTCCCGCATTTATTAAACACCCAGTAATGTTCAAAATAATTTTGGAATGAGCAAATTCAGTAACTGAAAAAGTTTTTTCTTGGAAGATTTTCTCAATAGGTTATGGCTCTCGAGATATCCAAGAATTACGAACTAAATGGACACACTGTATAGCTATCTATTGTCATAAAATATACAGGCCGATTCATGATGGATGGCACATGATACGTTCCTGGAGAACGCAACTCAGGATTATGCAGAGAATTCGGTTCCTTGAATAATTAGTATTGTTCTATCGACCCTAAATATTCTCAGCATTGCGACGTTGTCGCTTATATTGAAAAGTAGCAACAACTTTGATTTTTTCAATGGAACACCCTGTATATCATTTCATTTCCAGAATCTCACTGGAGAGAGCTGATTTGATCGATTTTTCACACTTGGTGTCTAGCGGTAATGATAACCAAGACATAGAGGGTGTGAAAATCGAAATTTCTCAACTTTAAGAATTTCTTGTGTCGAAACTATTCATGTTTGATCAAAACAGTTTCCATGTAACTGTCGATCTCAACTTACCATGTACTATCAAGTAGATATTCAATTGGAATAAACACAGGGTGCTTCAGAATTAAGATTTTTGACCACCATGTATTTCTCTCCGACTAATCACAACTTTCTGTTCGAATTGGCAGCATTGTCAAGACCATCGCGCATTTTATCGGCACACGTCACACAATTTGCGGACATGTCTGATCGTTTGAATTCGCTTGTTGATTTTGGCGTGTTCAATAATTTTTCATACGATGAATTGAAGGAAAAAATATCGAAAATCAATTCTAGGTAATTATTCCAGAGCCATGAATTTCGAGTAATATTTTTTTGTAGAAATGACTGGAATGGCCCATCTCAGGGCATGGGGTCTTTCACTGAATGGGAATCCGTTTATCATTTCCTCACACATGAGCTTGTGACTATGGGCATCGGCAGACATACAGGGTTATGTCACGACAAGCTTACACTATCTTTATATCGAGAAACAGTCGGGAGAAATACATGAGAATCTGCATGTTTATATTTTAGAATACGCTCTCTTCATTTGAAATATTTTCGACAATGCAGTGTTGCCGCTTCTACTAGAAAGTAGTAGCAACATTGATATTTCAAATGAAGCACCCTGTATTTCATCGCATTTTCAGGTTCTCCCTAAAGAGCTGATTTCATCGATGTATCACACATGGCGTCTATCGGAAAATATTACAGAAATATGGGGTGTTGTAAATCGAGATTTTTCAACTTTAGGATTTTTTTGTGTCGAAACTATTCATTATCGGTGAAAACGGCTCACATGAATGGAAGGGCAAGTTCTGATTACGTCACTTTCACTGGTGAAATGATCTGAACTTGAATTCTGCCGTTTGATAGGTATACAGTTCTCAGCTCTCTATCATTTTTCATTTATTTTGTATTTACCTATACCTGTCAATAAAATCCATTATTATTATTATTATTATTATTATTATTATTATTATTATGTCCTAATCTCAACTTTTGATTCACTATTTACTGATATTTAATCGGAACAGATACAGGGTGGTTCAGGATTTAGAATTCTGAGCACCCTGTATCTGTTCCGATCAAATATCAGTAAATAGTAAATCGAAAGTTGGGATAGGGACATGTGAGCCGTTCTGACCGATAATAAATAGTTTCGACACAAACAAATCCTAAATTTGAAAAATCTCGATTTTCAACACCCTATATCTCTGTGATCATATCCGATAGATCCCAAGTGTGATGTATCGATGAAATCAGCTCTTCAGGGAGAATCTGAAAATCCAAAAAAATTCAGAGTATTCTATTTGAAATAACAAAGTTGTTGCTATTTTTTGATAAAAGCGGCAACTTTGTATTTCTGAAGATATTTCAAATGAAAAGAGCGTATTCTAAAATAGAAGCATGCATATTTTCATGGATTTCTGTCGACTGATTTTTTATATAGAGATAGTGTATGCTCATCGCGATATACCCTGTATACACTATGCCTAGATGAATTCATAAAACTTTTTCAACTCTAAGTGAGTTAACTAAATACTTGAAGTTTGTCACACCAATCCTGTTTGTGATGTAAAACTTCTTATCAGGCTGGGGATGATTCTTCCTCAGATCGAAACATTTCCCTGATTATTTAACAATGTCATTGAAATGTGTGGAGAGCTCTCCTTCCTTCTTCGGACAATACCACTCCACTTTGAGCAATATGGACTCCTACCGAAAATTAATGATTATATTCTTTATCAACAATAAACATGTACTTAGGTATTTGTGTATTCGATAATGAAACTGGCACTTCTTTTATTTTTCAGACGATCAAGGCAGCTTATTCGTATGTCACAATCTTGAGATGAAGAACTCTCTGAATGATCGATGATTCACACTGAAACTGCACTATTTCACTATGGAAGTTCTAAAAAATCAAGAGCTGCTAATATGGAAATGCTCATATTCTCTTGTTTGATCTCAAAATAAATATCAATGCATTCGATGTGAGTTTCGTTTTATTGCTTCTCCTAGAATTCCTAGATGAGATATATTTCTATCGTTCACCATGAGTCGAATTCATCAAAAATCAAAAATGTTGTCAAAAGTATAGTATGAGCGAGATATAGGATTCTCCCAGAAACTGGAATTTCGATTCAGAACAATGTCATCAATATATTAAAATGTTTACTTCAATAAAAAAATGTTTTCCTGCGACCACCTATGGAAAGAGCACAAAACACATTGATTATTATTGAGAAAGTGACTCGTTTCACTATGACAACATATAACAGTTAGAAAGTTCGAAAGTGAAGCTCACATGGGTGGAAATATTCGAAAATCGCACAGTAACAGGGTCTATAGATTATGATGGACCAATGAATGATTATTATGCTGAATTATGGTAAGTCAAGTTATGGTCAAGTTAATGGAAAGTTAGTGTCGATTTAACATGAGTTATAGTCGTTAATGTTGACGTGATGTTGAGTTGATTGAAAAGTTGAAATCAAGTTAATTCCAATGGAAAGTTGTATTGATTTCAATGTATTGGCAATTAAGTGATTGATGTGAAGTTGATGTCAATTTGATATTGAGTTGATGTTAATTTGATTTTAAGGTAATGTCAAGTTAATTGTGTTAAATTTTGATTCAATATGTTGATTTAATATGTTGAGTTGATGTTGAATAATTATTGAGTTAATGTTAAGTTGATGTAAAGTCCATGTTAGGTTAATTTTGAGTTAATGTTGAGTTGATGTTGAGTTAATGTTGAGTTAATTTCAAGTTAATGTTGAGAAACTGTTAAATTTATGTTAAGTTGATGTTACGTGGATGTTAAGATGATTTTAAGTTGATGTTGAGTCAATATTGAGTTCATATTAAGTTAATGTTGAGTTAACGTTGAACTAATGATGTCATTCAAATATTGAAGTAAAATTAAATGTCTCGAAAACGAGACTCTCGCGGGCACCACTACAGGTAACTAATCCTTCAGGTTGGGAAAGTAGGATGATTAAAAGGTATGCAAGACAACGTTAGTTTAGTTCATTGTACCAGTATATCACCTGACGAAGCTACTGTGTTAGCGAAACATGTCGTGTGTTTGATATTTTTGTGGAAATCTTAGGGTCTGTGAAGTTTTTTCATTCTCGTAAAGATCGAAAAGCGGTTATTATTTGCTGCCGCAGTTCTATGGAAGCAATGGAGCGGTTTTTGTAAAACCATTATTCAATTTTCATTTTTGGTTTGGTATAACGAATAATACATTTTGAATAAGTGCAATTCAATCATTCAGGAGGTTGTTTGCATTGAATAATGTGATAGACAAACACGAAGTGATACAAAAGACACTGTGCTAGACAAATATGAGTATCTTCCTACCTTTTCTAAATATTTTTTTCACTGAGGTCAACATTTCATGAATCGTTTTGCCACACCATCATATCAAAGAGGTCGAAAACGCTCAAAAAATGAAATAAAAAATCCAGGACCGTATTTAAAAAAATAAAGTTGAAGATGACCGCTCGAAAAAGAAACGTCGGATTCCCAATTTGACAATTCCATTTTGTAGAGGCGGAAAAGTGGCGATGATAAAGTGACATTAGTTTTGAAATATCTCTTCAAATGAACTGAGTAATGAATAATGATTTCCCGCGTTAACAAACGTCCCTCTCCAGCCATCAATGGTTTCCCGCCAAAACACTCCAGCCAACAGGGGCTATAGGCGTAGGGTTCCAAAATCAAAAAGTACTATGCCCCAGTGCACTATTCCCTACTAATATCAGTTTTTTTTTGTTGTTTTTGTTTCAATTGAAAAAATAATGGCAAGGTAAAACTATAGTTGTATCTAGATCACTGCTTTATCATTGCCAACATACTGAACAATTGCTAAAAAACTAGTTACACTTTTACTAACATATTCCATTTTGAAACTTTTCTCTAGCTTAGCCATATTCTTTTCATCCCTTACATCCATATTTTTGAAATTATCCTTGATTTTTGTCAGAGCATTTGCGAAATATTGAAAGAACGTCAGTCCATCTTGTAAGATTCTGGTCAAAGGTGGCTGAAAAGCAGTTCCAGTTAAAAGTGGAGTATTTGCTTCCCAACAAAGATCGATTGTCGATCTTTCCAATATTGACAATTTGTTTTTCAGATCTTGGTTGGTTTGGTTGAGGTGATCACTGAAAATTAAAACAATAATTGTTCAATATTCTCTGGAATTAGAATCGAAAGTAGTGGTTTCATTCAAGATATTTTAACAATGACTTTCTTATCTCTCGAAAAATATAAAACTTACATTATTTTCTTCAACGTTGATATTTCTTCTTCCATTTCGATAAAAACTTTGAATCTGATCTTTTCTTGAAGATCACGAAATTTATCCAAATATTCGATGTTTGCTCTTGAAAAAAAAAAACAACGAATTATAAGTATGTCGCTTTTTGAGTACAATGAATATTTATACAATTGGATAGACGATCTGTAGATCTTTTAAATGCGGTGTCACATGGTAACATTTAAAAAAATTGTACTTTTCGTCTTTATACTGGTGATATGTTACGTCTCTTTTATATTTATATATAAAATCAGATGGGACTCCAGAGATTGAAACTCACGTGCATTTAGATTTCTTCGTGAGTCCCCTATTTTCTCTAGTCCTTTTTCATCTGTAAGTGACACTTCGCCTTCTCTCTTGTTTATGAATGAATTCCTTTATTATCATTTTTTGTTTGCAATTGCATTACCTCGTTGGTCCCAGCACTGGGCCCAAACGCCCCATAAGTCGAAACTTGTGCGGGGTTAGGTAAGCAGACAAACAAAAACATCCATGGCTTAACTAGGATTCGAACCTATGTCTCGGAGGGAGTCCCCTATACGAACTCAGCGCCTTCACGCTCTCGACCACCGAGCCGATTATTATAACCTATTATTATTTATTATGGATATAACGAATTTATTCGATACATTAACATCGTACTGTATAAGTTATCTCGATTGGTCTCGCAGTCATTGAATTCAGATCTGACAAGTAATGAAAACTATCACCTTATTCTTCATATTTTAAGATGATGTTATATCATATAGTATATCCACAAGACTAAATATTTCTTTAGTTGGTACAGTCAATGAATGGTACAAATATATGAAGGCTGTCAACTATAGAAATTGCAATTTCGATGATATTCTGATTCTAATTCAGAGCTGTCCATTATTTACTCACATTTTGATAATTTCATCTTGTTGTTTATTATCATCAATATTATTACTGATTTGCTTCTGAAATAGCGAAGTTATTTTATACACATAAGCATCGAATATTGCGTATAATGTAATCTCCAAATCACTTTTCGCGCAGCTATTGGATTTTGATCTAACAATTAGTAGTAAAAACTATTGGTTTCACCAGGGACATCCCTTCGACAAAAGAAAAAAAAATGTAGGTCGAGTACTCCATTGGCTATTGAGCCTCCTGAAGATTTATGTACTAAACAGATATATAAACAGGACTAAACTACAGAAACCTGAATAAATACAACTTTGTTAGGATTTGGGTATAACTATTATATCATTCTTGGGCGTTTAAAAATGAGGGGCATTATGCATGTACGATTTCTGTTTGCGAAAAATGGTAATTTCTTACGAAGTTCTGAAACTGCAACCACAAATTGCAAATATGATGATATTCCTATTTTAATCCAGGACTGTCTATTACCTGCTCACGTTCTCATGATTCTATCTTTTTTCCCATCGTGACCGAAAATTCTCACAAAATGAGATATTCTTGTTGAGTTGGCAACTCTGTCAAGCATCTGGAGTCAGGGTGCAACAAATGATCCATTCGATGGGGAAACGTTACAGCGCGGGTACAGACTATACAACAGACACAGTTCACAGTTAAAAGAATACAAACATATATTTCGTCAGTCGGTAGGCTTTTTGTTCATTGGAATCTCTTTCTGATGGTGTGAATTATATAAACATTACTAGCGTGATAGTTCTCAGAAAATGGAAAAACGAAACTCGAATCCGAAATTTTTTAGAATCCATTATGTACAATTTAGAGCTATTCACACAGTAGGTATAGGCCCTTACAAAAGAAAAATAAGGGTCAATAATCTCGTCAATAATACTGTGCTATTTATCGAAATCTACACTGATTACTCGTAAAACGTAAGATTCCATGAAAAATAATTTCACACCTAGCAAATAACATTCGAAAATGGTTGTTTTGAATATTGAAGGAGATTTCATCTTGAAAATGTGACTTTTCGTTTCTTTGAATTTTCTGAGAACATTCACCACAGAAATTTATATATTCTTTTACACCCTCATCAGAAAGTAGAGATTTCGACGTATTAAAAGTCCATCGAAAATTTTGTCGTGAGAATTTTCCATTGAAAATTAGGGTGCTTTTTCGATATTGGGTCAAAATGAGGTGGAAAATATTAGATATTCATAATAAAAAAATTCAGTGTATTCGGGACATGAAGGGGTAAGCTTTCACCAAATTTCGCAAACATTTTTTTTTGTAAAAGAAAAATGAAAAAACAAAAACTTGGTGTTTTGAATTTTTCACGAATTTTTCACATACATTCAGAGGTTATGTGAAAAAAAGTAGATATACATAGTAATTATTTGCTCTAGAAAATGTATAGGGTTTTATGTGAAATAGTCCGAAAAAACATTGCCTTCCATCTTTGTAATATTCTCCTTCTTTTTCGATGGGTTTCATCCTATGATTTTTCTTCTACTTTTCACCGTTTTCGAAAAAATACTGTAGGCATTTACTAGTTAGGCCGATAGTGATTCGCTATTTCAATGATGATTTTTTCTCGGGAAATATCCTGTTTCTCGCGCCCAGCGAGCAGCGAGCCAGGCGCAATATTACCTCGCTATGGTGCTATGGCTAGACTCTAGCAGAGATTATATTCATTTCACTCACTTCTCCACGTGCCTCAATTGTTCTGCGTAGTTTGTCAGCGCCTGGGCCGGTTTATCAGCTTCTTCCAATAACTTTCTCCATTTATCTACGTGTATCGGCAACAATTTACAGAAATTCACAACGTGCTTTTGCACTGTCAACTCAACATTCTCAACATTTTCAGTTGATATCGTTTTGGACATTTTTGTATCACAGTTCGCTTGATTAATTTAGGTAAACAAACTAGCGCATGCTGCTTATGTGTTCGCACTATGAAATGAAGTATGCAGCGATTGCAGCGTTGCCAATGTGACATAGAAAATATCTCATTCTTTGGAAATCCTCACACGTAATTTTCAATAATTGTAACTTATAAATATAATCGATTTTTTCATTCCTTATTATACAGTGTGCAACTATAGGGGTAATCTCACACACGATAGCCGCCTTATTTTCATTGGCACCATATGAAATTTTCTTGTTACTGAATACATTTTTTTTGATCCCGATGATGTAAACTAGGCATTGTTGAAAATTTTCTCATTATTTTTTTTTACATACACGTGGAATGACAATGATAAATTTGAAACCCAATTGACGAATTTATAAAATGGATTGATAATTTTGAAATACATGTAATATCCTGACATTCCATTTGAACTTATAAAATAATTCACTGCTTGATATAATCATATGAGATTAATCTGCCCACGCGATTCTAGAGAAGTCGCGAGGTGCATTTTCAGCATTTTCTGAAGATAACTGTCTTGAATGCATTGTATTCACGACTGGTAATCAACAGCCTAGAATGAGCTTTCGATTCGAACAAATCAAAATTGAGTAACATCACTCAAAATCAAAGTCTCGATCAAAGATACATTTCAGTTCGAAATAAAGTGTATTTTTTGAAAACCAACGAGTATACACAGATAAAAAGGATTTCTTCAATGAAACAAATCCATTTTCTTGAAAGTAAATTGCTTCGTACAAGAATTTTTCATATGAATGAAGCAATATACACTTGTCTCAAATCAATTGGCTTGTTTGCTTCGTTTCCTGAAATTTCTTGATATGAATTTGCTCAACATAAACAGTATATTTCTTCATTCAAGAAAACCGCCACTACAAGTGACATGAATTCTTATTTATGTTGGTTCAAGAAAATCTCTGCTTGTCGCTATATAAAAGGCTTGCAGTGATGTACCAGGTGATTCAATAACGGTGACGAGGTACAGTATCTCAGGAACTAATAGTTTATTAAACACGGCTCCTAGCGAGGGCAATAAGAACCAGAATGGTATGTATATGGATCTTTATTTCATTCACTAAACCTTCCTTCCTCGAACCATACCTTTTGTTAGCAATGTATTAGTTCCTAAGATACAGCTTCTCGGTTACTCTTATCACTTATTGAATCACCTGGTACAGCGGTGGGAGACAACTGAACGCCTGCGCCTATTCGACTTGTCAGTCGTTAGCCGCCATTCGCCGTTGTCGCTGTTGTTTCTCAAGCCGGTGCAAAAAATTTTTGTTCTTCAATGGTGAAGTGTTCAAGAATCAAGTGTGCTGAGTCATGGATAATAATGGTGTGGTATCATCTTCACAGCAATGCGGCATTCAACATTAATTTGAGGACACTCTGAGAGAGTAAGTTGAATACGTTGTAGGAATAGGTAGGTATCAATTTCAGAAACAAACTCTGAACTTTGTATGTTTTTGTAACATGGTTGTACTGAGGTGGTTTACTTTCTTATTTCATCGTAAACTAATGTTAAAAACCTTATTCGTTCAGCAGTGACGATTTGACCAGTCGCATTTCATTCGATGAACGCCCTAATAGGTAGGTGAAGGTAGTTAATTGTCCATTCTTTGTATATTGTTTGATTGATTTCTGTCATTCCTGATTAGAATGATGATCAAACCAATGATAATATATCTCCTTACTTCATGTTTTTACATACTTAATAACTTTTATACTTCCCCTTTTGTCAAACGCAGAATTTCTTGTAATCAGAAAATATCTGATTGTCTTGATTTTTTTTTGTTTTCGACAATGCCTGGCTGATGTGCTAGATGAAAATGTTGTTTCTTCGTTTCTTGTATAGCCAGTTCTATAGGTTTACGGTTAATGATTTCCATTTAACGAGCCACTCTGATGCAAAATATATATACGCTAGACATTTTCAAAATTATGATTTTACTCTTTTCTCTAGGTTTTCGGGGTTCATCATTCTGGATAAGAAGACGAGGACAGCAAATCACAAAAATGCAGAAAAATTAATTTTCCACTTCCTAGATTAAGCTATAGACAGTATTTGATGATTTTACTATATATGTATATGTTTTCATTTTTGTTATACATGTTCTCATTTTTGTTATAAATGTTTTCATTTTTGTTATATCATAATAGGATAACCCAAGTTTTGATGATGAAGCCTTCTGTTAGTTTATTTCATGCCTTTCATGATGAAACCATCAATACTCTAATAGTAAGCTGTATTTTGATTTCCTTCAATATGATAATCTCTTGTCTTAAGAGAATGAGAATCTCCTGAAAAAATATTCACTCATTATAGTAAGACAACATATCTTTGTAACAAGCTCGAAATTTCTTCAATCAAGAACAAAATTGTTCAACTATGATGGGAGATTATCTTGACAATAGAATAATTTTCTTGTTTCAAATTTATTAATTCTTTCTTCGACTAATACGTACTGTGATAATAAAGAGATATTCATTCGAATCAAGAATTTCTTCTATGAATGAGTTAAGAAAGTTCTGTTGAAAAATCGAACAAATATTTGGTTGGACATATTCAAGAGCGCCATATGGTTGGATCAATGCTGTTCCGCATTGCATCAAGAAATCCTTTGTATCTGTGTATCTCCCAAGTTATAAAATACATTTGATAGGTACTTCTTGGAATCGGAATGACTAATTCGAAATAAAATTGACTCATTCTGAAATTGAATTGGTAATTATGAAGCCGATGAAATATCACATTTGATATCAAAAACCGCATTAGGAACGGTCTTCGAAAAAGAGTCAAATTATGAGTGGTCCATTAAGTTTGTTCAGAACTGTAGAATGAGTTCGACGTGATGTGAACTTAAAATAAATATGAATGCCATTTACCTAAAAACGTCAAGAAATTTCCAGTTTAATTTCGTGATATAATCCCCTCAAGATGGAGGAAAAAATTTCCAAAAATGTGTTCAGTAGAAATAGTAACGGCACAAAATACAGGCTTCCAAATGGTTGGAAATAATTTATAGTTTACATCAACGAGTTCATGCAACAAGTCAGTTGCCCATCGTCTTAACATTGCTGAAGGCCGACTTCATCATAGTTTACCGTTGGCCTTCGGAGAGGTCACGATCTAAAATTTACTCCCAACGCAATATAAAGTAGTAGGTATAAATATAAATGAATGAAATATGCGAAGATGCAATGTTATGCTCGCACCTTTGAAATTTCTTCTTTCACCTGCGCGAATCCAGGTGCTCACTAACGCCAGCTAGACTTCATCACGCAAAAGTGAAATTAACGATTTCCGAAGTAGCACTAAATCGGTGCCCAGCAAGATACAGTGTTGTCTCGTCAGCAATATCTTCCCTGACATATGGACAACATATGACAGAATGAAATAATATTGAAATCATTGGAAAAGAAGATAACAACCAGAAGAGAAAAATCAAGGAATCTGCTTGCATTCTTCTGAACGGAGACAATAGCATAGCTTCTTGTTTCTTGTTCAGTTGATATAGACAGAACATGGTATTCACTACTGAAGTCTGAACATTAAAAAGGTAAATTCAAGATTAATTAATGAAAACATCCTGTAACTCATTTGATTGCCAACGTCACCAATTGTCACTGAGAACTGAAAAGTTCCAGGACAAATATGAATTTGCCATACCAAAAAATCCATTTTTTATTATGAAAACGGGAGCAGATTCGTGCCCGAAACGTCCAAAGATAAGTAGAAATTTGATATTTTTTTTTATATACCTTAATTCCTCTTCTCCAAACCTTTTTCAATACAAATTGTCATTTTTCTTTTAGGCTCTCTGATAGGAAAATTCTTTGAATGCAGCGACACTTTGAAGCAAATCACCTGTTTGTTGTAACCACACGTATATTGAAACCCATTCTTACCTACGGTTGCAACTGTAAATAAGGAGATTTCAAGAAAACTGTTCTTTCTTTTCCATTCATGAGCAAAACATTGATTCGGTGTGTGATGCCACACTCACTAATTCGTCGACTTCACCGAAACACCACAGGAAATTTGGCGACCTTCCACTTCTCTATTGATACTTCTGAGAAAAATGTTCTCTACAATTCTCGACTTCCATCAGCAATACCGCATCCATCAGACGAGCTGAACTAAGTCAAACAGCACATCTTTCTGTCACTTGCCTTGAGATATTCCGAACAAGTCTCTATCAAAACTTGCTTGATTTGGGCAACTGAACTGAGTGCCGATAGGGGGTTCCCACCAAAGCATAAAGGTCCGAGCTCGACTCAGGCCTTGGATATTTGTGAATAAATATTCTACAAGAAGTACAAATGGAATCTGCAACCAAACCATCGGACATAATGTCAGCCAGGCTCAGTTTCGATCATACCTTTGAAGTGGTTATAAAAAGCCGCCCTAGGTACGGTTCCGCTGAGCCTCAGCTGGACAGAGGTTCCCTTGTTTGGTACACCGATGGTTCGAAAATGGAAGAATAAGGGGTAGGCGCGGGTGTATATGGACCCGGATGTGGGCTATTTGAAGCCTTAGGTCACTCCCCCACCATCTTCCAAGCTGAAATACATGCCATCAACCTTTGCGCCCAAAGGTGCCTGAGCAAAGGTCTGAGGGGTGCCAAGATATATATCTGCTCAGACAGCCAAGTCGCACTAAAAGCCCTTAAATCATTCGTTTTCACATCAAAGATTACATAGGACTGATTTGAAACACTCATGCAACTGGGAAAGGGCAACAAAGTCACACTTATGTGGGTTCCAGGGCATGAAGGAATCGAAGGAAATGAGGCAGCTGATCGCCTTGCAAAAAAAGGTGCAGCATCTGCACTTTTTGGTCCTGAGCCTTTTTGTGGGATAAGCAAATGTCACCTAAAGGGAGAACTCGGGAAATGAGGAGAAATTGGAAAGTCCTCCTACTGGAGAGCAACTCCAGGTCAACGACAAGCGAAAAGGTTCATCAACCATTCGCAGAACCGAGCCAAAGAGCTACTCAGGCTCAGCAAACCAGAGCTATAAAGCTTATTATCACAGG